AGAGGGTCCAGTCATACCTTCTGAGGAGGTACGACTGGAGCCCTAGGGCAAAACCTGAATTCATTTCGCGAGGCCGATCTGGGGGGAGGCCGATCTCCTCCGCTCCAAAAGCGGTTTCCGGACCGATTTCCCGCCATCGACCCGCATGGGTTCCACCACGCGGAACGGGCGGAACGCGGAGTTTTCTGGGGCTGACATGGAGAAACTTTTGAGATAGGACTGTATCTGGGAGAAGTCTTTGGACACACTCAACTCAGAAAAAGGAACAAAACCATACAGCAACCGTGTTCTAGACTATATACATTTCATTACATTTCTATACAAGCTTGGTTTTTTTTGTCATCGACTTTTGACCTCCCCTTCCAGATGACCAGCCACATCTCCCCCATTTGGCCTTCAAGAACACCCCACGCTCCCGTGCGCTCACGACCAACCGCACGACCCTCTCAGGCTTCGTGCACGAGAGTTGCTTGCGGCGTTGGCAGACCGAGGCCTGGAGCGCGCTTTACGTCTTTCGCACAGACGGTTCCAAACAAGCAGAGACAAATGGTTGGTTCCAATACAATAGAAAATGGGGAAAACATCCATTTCTTTCTGGTCGTGAAAGGGGTTCCAGGAATTGAGATACACGAACCCTGGAACGAACATGATGGTGATGTGGATGTCCTGGCCAGTTCGGGTCAGAGCATGTTCACTCCCCAACAGGGAGTGCCATCCACTTCCGGTTCCATGGAGAGTCCTTCACGCTGTATGGTCGATCCTCCAGATCAGAGTGAGGTGATCGACCAGTAAGTGAGTGAGCGAGCACCATGTGGAGTCAGTGAACACAGGTGAAGAGAACCCCACGGTTCCTTTGGTCTTCGGATTGGACGACCGAAGAGAACTCAGGGCGCTTGTTCTCTTCGCATCACATGCCATCCATTTCTCGGGAACTCGGTGCTAGGATGGTCAAGGTCGGGTCCAAGGGTCCCAGAAGGTCCCAGACCTTGAAAGGGCCCAAGGGTTTTAATGATGCACGCATTTGTACTTGAAACTCTTTCTTTTTCGAGGGATCCTTCTTCCCTTTTTCAGTTTAATGATCAAGATACTTGAAGAAGGATCCTTTAAATGGCTGATCCTTTGTGAAACATGGATTGGGTGAGAAGAAGCACATGTCTTGGCAAGGGCTTGGCATGGTCCCCTTGACATCCCGCGGTTGTGGCAGGAACCTCACCAAAACATCAATTGCGATTGGCACGGTGTCAGTGGTGTCCCCTGACAGATGCTTTTGTTGTTCCTTGGGTTTCCCATGAGCATATATATATATACATACACACACCTAGACTACGACACTGGCTGTGAGCCTCTTGAGTGCTTCTCACCCCCCCAAAAAATGACACATCGAATCGACACCCATGACACAGCGAATGAGAAGCAACGCGCCGAGGCCCTTTGTTATGAACACTCCTTGGTCTGCCAAGTGAGCCCATTCCATCGGATGGGGAGAGGATTCCATCGGCCGTGGTGAGGGGGTTGATGGCTGGCCAAGATGGGCTGGACAAGATGGCTGGACTTGGTGTGAACGACCGTGGCCCTTGGATGGGACCTTGATTGATAGGAACCAAAACATGTGAAACTATATATTGACACTTTATATTGGATTGAACAGGGGCTGGTTTCTCCGCGTGTGGGGATGGGGAAGCTTCAGTGTTAATCAAAAGATGCAGTCTGAGTGACGATCGTCGTCGTGTCGACTCATCGTCCAGACCGGTGAAACATCCATCCATGAAGCGATGATGACGAGTCTATGAACACCCAAACACAAGACTTCAAGGCTTCTCTATGCTTCAAGGTTCTTCACTATATAAACAGCTTATTGAAGAAGAATAGATGAAGAAGAATAGTGAAGACTTCAAAGCTTATCAATTCTTCACTAAACAGCTTTGACGGGTGTGAGATGGAACCAGAACCAGCTGAGCGGCCCCAGGAGCAAGCGTGCCCAAAGGGAGGGACTGCCAACATCATGATACTTATAGATTATAGATACTGTATGACTTTGTATGACATAGATATAATTGCTGAGTATACAGTTTATTTTTTTTGAGGTTGAAGCCCAGGCCGGGAATGGTACCCAAGCTGAAGGCATTTGATCCCATTGCCCTGGGCTCCGGACGTCCCGTCCGCAAGACTTACGGCTCGAGCGAATCGTGGCATCAAGCCGAGAGTTCGCCATGCGGAAGGAGGTGTGCTGGGAGGGCTATGGTGCTGGGGCTGGGCGATGTGTGTGACACAAGCACATGCTGAACCCCCAAAAAGAAGGGTCTGCCCAATGAAAAAGTTGGGAGATACATTGAAATTCATGTCGTCCTGGGGTTAAGGAGGACATCTCTCTCTCTCTCTCTCTCTGTGCGTCCCTCTCTCTCTCTCTCTTTCTTTGGAGGAGCTGAGAAGATTTTGTATCATTGGATGCGCAGTGCGCGGAAGAGCGCTAGCCCTTCCAGGTCCCGAGCGGCGGCTGATGCTTTAGAACTTAACAATTTCTGTTGAACCAACATGAAGCCCGATCGCATGGTGTTTGAACCAAGATGGGCTTGACTCATCTTGCTTGAGGAAAAGCGTCCTTTGCAATTCACAGATCAGCCCGCATCAACCCTCAAAATGAAAGGAATCATTAATTTCCCAAGAATTTCTCAACAATCCTCCGGTTTCCTTCCGGGCGGATTTGGCGTTCAACACGTTCAGCGCCCGCGGTCACTCGGCGCGCTGCGCGTCGCTCGCTCCAGGCGAGACCACTGGCCTTGCTGGCCGCAGTGCCTTGACAGGGAATGACAACCTGAACACTTGGAGCCATTCAGTTTACAGTAGCTTCAGAGTAGATGGCACAGACCTCATGATGTCCTTGAGATGGGGGTTCATATAAACCACCTCTTGGGGTCTGTGCCATCTACTCTCAAATGAGTCCCCTGAATTTTTGAATGGGAGAAAGGGGATGTTTCAGGCGCGTGGAGGTAGGGGTGCCTTGTTTGGAGCCAGATCGATGATCTCCACATTTGCGAGTCGTGGTCCAGATAGATGGTCGTTCGCCCACACACCACGAGCTCAGAGCTCATGGAACTAAGACCTTGGCGACCTGTTAAGACCTTGGCCCTCGGGCCCGACATGGCACAACCTCTCGACTCGGAAGAAGCTGGCGAGGTCCCACACGGGTGTCCTTCCCTCCGAAACGCCGAAGTAGCGCGCGAAGCGCCGCCGCCGCGGGGCACACACACACACACACACCCAGGTGGCACTCTGGTGTGGGCACGGGCCTCGGACGTGTGGAGAGACGGGCGTTTGGGGTCGCCCGGGAGACCATTGGGAGCCCCGATCGGAGCGTCGGATCGCTCCGTTCGTAGCGATGCCCTTGTTACTAGTAGCGTTCTTGCTCCTAGTAGTATGGCCAGGAGCCCCGATCGTAGCGTCCTATACCTGGAGGTTACAGAATATGTGTGGATCTGTGAAGATGTGATGCAGAACATGTGGACACATGATGGGTCTCCTGTGGTCTTCTGGTGGATTTCAGAGTGGTGAACCACGGGTGTTCACCTGAAAGTTGGGGGACACTCTCTGAACTCCTGTACATGTGTATATGCATTATATATACATCTGTGCCCTTACCTACCAGATGGTTTCTAGGATTTGTCCAATTGCGAAACGGTCAGATGCCATGTAATTAACGTTACAGGGTTGTTCCACAGAGCGGATGCGCCACGGAGGGGATGCGCCATCCGTTCCTATATAGGGAAAACGGATGCGCGGCAGGGAGGACACTCAGAATGATGATGAATTCATCCACTGCATGCTAATTTGGATATGTATTCATCCAGATTGTACTGAAGCACATCAAGAACATCATCCAGTGCAATGGACTTATCATCTTTAAGACTTCGTTTTCGGTAGGACGCTGAGTGGACCACACACCACCCACCCCCCGCACACCACACACCACTGGAGGTGTCCGCTGTGGCCCCCCCAGGACGGCCTTCGTGCCGAAGCCAGAGGCCGAGGGGCGGGGGGGGCTGGGCTCGGTCCTTCGGCTCGACCGAGCCGTGACGCGGCCGTTCCAAGGAGGAGTGACGTTGAGCTCCGTGTTTTCTTTGGTTTGAAGGTTAAACGGTGTTTTCAGTGTCGTTCACCATGTTTTGTCTTCACATGACATGTGGGGTGGGGGGAAAGACACGATCCGGATTTTTTCAACTTGACTCGACTGTAAACACCGACATGAAGGGGAGCAAGCTTTTGGTTGGATTGCAGGGGAGAAGAGTCTGTTTTGACATCCGTTCGAGATGGAATCGAGAGCACATGTCATGGAGGAAGCTCCTGAAAGCAGTGTGTGGAGGGTACTGTCATCAAGAAAGGAGTTATCAGCGGCATCAGCATTGATCATGTGGAATTTTAGTGACTTAGTTCAGCGCTTGTCATGTCGTCCTTGTGTCTAGGTTCTCAACCCAAAGCAACAGCAGCCGACCGGCTATCCCTCATGTGATAGTTCAGTTCAAACATGTCTTCCAAGTTGATATAGAATCCTAATACGTTAGTTTCAGAGTATGATGTTTAGATGAGCATCCAGTAAACCTCTTTGGTGGCCATCCAGCTTCAGGTCATTCTAAACAGAGGCCTTCGATACAAACCCAGAGACACACCAGACCAACACACCGGGTGTGCCCTCGCTTCCGCCGCACATCCATGGCGCGCCGCCGAAGCTTGGAGCCTGGCTTGAGCGCTTGTTTCAGTGGAGGAGTCAAGCTCAAGCGAAAAAGACTACGGACATCCATGGGGTGCCACGCAAAAGGTGTCGGCAAGTGGATGAGTTGATCTTCCAGCCGTTTCCACCAAAAGAATCATTTGCTGCGAAGAAGTGACAAAGTACATCAAAGTACACATTGAAGAGGACCAGCCATGGACCCAATGTCAAGCCAGGGAACCTCCCCAAACCTCACAGCATCAAAGCTCTGGAAGTAGGTGGATCGCTGGAAGATGTTCTTTGCGCCCCCTCTTCTTTCGAGTTCTTGGGATGTCTTCGATTCACCAGCACCGGTCTCTTCACACCCTGGAGCTTCGCCACCATGGCTGTCGCCGCGCCGCGCTCCGCGGGACCGCGGTCCTTGCGGCGGCTTCGTCCACGCGCGGTGACGTGCGCGTGGACGGTGGTGACCGTGGGTCGGGGAGCCACAGAGGGCGGGAGAGGGGAGCCCGGCTGAGGAGATGTGTGGTCCAAATGAATTCCCTCCACCTCAATCCAGGATCCAGTTTTTGGACGAGGTCCTACTGTTTACGCGGTCGCACTGATGACTTAGGCCACATTTGTTTTTGGGGTCTTTGCAGATACAGACGAGAGATGACGAGAGAGATGAATGAAATGAATTACCATGAATGACCTATTGGTTTTGAAATCGCTCCGAAGAAAGAAGCCTACTGTTTGTGAGTGGGAGGGTCCGTAGTATCTCACGTGAAGAATGAAGGTACTTTGCCCAGATGATCGCAGATGTATACTCTGGAATAGTTGGACACGGCCCCTTTTCCGCAAACAATGTATGCATGCTCATCAATTTCATGTGGTCATATTCTTTTCATCCACGATCTTCAATTATTGACTTGATCATTTCGTCTGCCGGAATGGACCGCAGATGCTGCCATGTGATTCCACGATTCCATATGGAAACCACTTGCGTCATGTGTGTGACACTTACGACTTCAGCACTTTCCCTCAGGAACACTGGGCCTGTTGGGCCTCCAAAACGGCCTTGGCTTCACCAACACTGTCCTTGGCTGGGCACGCGATCTGCGGAAGAGGTGTGCTGGGCCGTGCAATGATCCCTTCAGTTTTCTCTCTTTTAAATCAACAGTTACGTTCACGTTTGATGGACAAGGATATGGTTTTGTTTCACTCATGTTCACTTCACACACACTATATCGAGCTTGTACATGCACGATCATGGCGTTCTTTTCAATATCATCAAAGCACCATCTTCCCCCTCCGAGCTTCTCGATGGTCAAACAGCGTTTTCACCCTGTGCATGTTTTCGAAAGGCAGGCGTCGCAGTCCTCCAGATGCCTCCGGGCAGTACCAGAGCTGTGTGTCTTCGACTTGGATGCCTGCCTGTGGGACAAGGAGGGGAGCTTCCGTCGGTCAACGATCTGCAGCAAAACCAGCGAACGGGTGATGCCGACCACTTAGAATCGTTTGAAGAGACAACAAAGTGCCCCAAAAGACCAGTGTTCCCTTGAAATAGTTTTGGCTTTGGGAACCGCCTGGAACCGTTGCTGAAGTGACACCACGTCGACGGAACCTTCTGTCATGATCCCGTTTCGGAATCGATAGACCGATAGACAACAGAAGGTTCGTTCAGGTCGTTCGAGACGTGACGAGAGAGGCACCTCCAATAAAGACCGGGCGATCCGCTGCAAATTCCATCCCCTCAAATGGTTTCATTTGGAAGGTTACCTCTTCCCAGAACCTGCCAGCAATGTTCGTTTCCTCATGTGTTGACAGGAGATGTTTGAGATGGAAGAGATTCCTGGTGAGAAAGATGCAGTGCGAGGTGCATTAGCCAGTTCATATTTTTCCCGAGAGCGTCTGCGAAGGGTTCTTCGCAAAAAAACATCTGCAGAACTACGTCTCATCTACATCTTCACATCTTCACCTCTGCACATCTACATGTTCACCTCTCGCTCTTGGGGGCGGTGCCGCCAGAGCACCATGAAACGCAACCCTCTGCGGAGATCGTGCGTGTCGAGGGCGCGAAATGCAGGTGAGATTGCGTTTTGGACTTGGAGACTTGGCGCTGCACTTTTGGAGGAAGTCTCGTACGAAGCGCTGGCTTTGGAGACTTGGCGCTGCACTTTTGGAGGAAGTCTCGTACGAAGCGCTCGTTTTGGAGTCTTGGCGCTTCACTTTTGGAGGAAGTCTCGTACGAAACGTTCGTCTTCGGAACACTCGCCTTCGGCGAATCAGGCTCGGATGAAAAGATCAAAGCCTCGAGCGCATGTTGTCCGAGAATGACTCAATGACAAAACCATCACCAACCTCAAAACTCATCGCGTGAGGTTAGGGCTTGAGCCTGGCTGAAGGGACGCTCAACATCATCTACTTAACTTGAAAGCTCTGTCAAGGGGGGGTCGATTCTGGCACCAGCTAGCCGTACCGCGTCGCGTGCGTAAACAGAGTCAGCTGCTGAAAATGACGAGCTATCGTATCTGGAGGATGAGGAAAGAGCGTGATGAGTTCTATACAAGTATGACGACTATCGCGGTGAGAGAGATAAGCTTTAAGGGCAGACTCACTCAAGGATGAACTCGACCTGAGGCAACACCAGTTTCATTGCCATCAGTAGGTACCACGGAAAGAGAAATCGCAAGCCCATGTCGTTTGGCAGAAGGTGGATGCTCTTGGGATATGCGAAGCAGCAACCTTGATACAGGACCAAGAACGCAAATCGTTTGTGGGGCAATTAACTGGAGCTTCTTGCAAAGTCAGTTGTAGCTTTTAACACGTGGGCATGCAGAATAGGTCTGTCCTTCATTTCTGTGACAATGACCCTGCCTCTGCAAACAAAGTGCTAGTAGCACAGGAACCATATGCACAGAGCATGTTCCAGCATCATGTACATTCTGTGCATACATCGCTTACATGTTGGCTCAAGACGATAAAAGAGGCGAGTGTCTCATGGTCGACCGACGCATTTGCCGACATGCAGGTTATCAGCCGTAGCGTTCTGCTACGAGCTGGGCTGAGAGACTAGCTGGACTTTCAAGAGGGACATCCTATCTAGACTGAAAGGTCTCGACGGCTAACCTTCTGAAATGTCAGGCGCAGACGAGATGAGTGGGGCGACCTTTTCGTTCGCTGCCGCACCGGGTGCTACTTCACAGCCGACGCTTGATTCAAACATGATTGCCAGCAGCGACCCCCAAGGTGGATCAATCATGACTACGCCAACAGCTTTGCAAGCGCCAGGAAACGCACTTGAAGATGTATCTATGCCATCAAGATTGAGAAGACCTCTACAAAGGGCAGCGAGGACTATGAAAGACCGAGAAACGCACCGAGATCCACATCACCGAGATCTGCATTGGCAAGTACCAGAGGGGATTTGAGGCAACCAAGAAGAGTATGACCAAGGATACTTCAACGGGTTCTCGTGGGCTGTCCACGGCGCCCACAGATCCAGCTTTACTCGCTCTCCTACCGCCTGCGAGCAGTGAGACATCTAGCGCGGAAGATCAACTACTTGAGGAGTTGAGATCAGCCAAGATGCTCTACGACATGACGCATGATGAATACTATGCTACACGGGTCAACTTCGAAGAGTTCAAATCTGACACGGATAGACAGATGTACGCGATGTGCGAACAATGTAATCATCTAGACCACGGCAATGTCGAATCTGAAGTCGCTGTTTTACTAGCAAGAAGGATTACTGAGATGAGCGAGGAATTGAATTACGTTGTTCATGGTGCTCATGAAAGTCGCGAAGGTTCTAGACAATTTCACGCCAGAGCTGACAGACTTATGGCAAAGAACTCTGAGATTGAACGCATTGCCGACCAGATGATCATCAAGTCCAAACCCTGCAACTTGAGATTGTAGCTGTATCTCAAAGAGAGACAGAGAGAGAGCAGAGCAGAGCAGAGCAGAGCAGAGCAAATCGAAGAAGAGAGGGCGATTATGGAATACAACTTCCAGATCACGCATGGAAGATCCATGAATGATGAGATTGCTGCTGCGAACTTACTACGGGAACAAATGTTGTTGGCTACGGGTGGGTTAGCGTAGAGTGCTCGCGTGACGGAAATGCAAACTATGTGGCTTGATGAGAGAACTATGATGGAGAACGCTGAAACGAGATCACAGAACAAGGTGCGGCAAATGGAGCACAATTCTCAGATGGAATAGCAAGAAGCGCTCAGTTCTGAAAAGGAGTATGAGACACATGCAGGCGATCTTACGTGAGAAAGAGAGGCTTCGCGAAGCAAATGTGGCGCTGAGAGAAGCAACCGATCAACTCAGATTCAATCCTACTTCTGAAGCATTGGATGAAACCACCGCCTATGCCATGCCCGTTCAAAAGAGAAGTGCAGGTTGGAAGAACTCCGATGGAAAGCAATGTTCAAGAAGTTGGGTGAAGACAGCAACAGAATCACTGAGATGAGAAGAGAGCTGGATGAACTCAAGCAAGAAAGGAAGAAATTATCGAGTGAACGGTTGGGTGAGTTCCAGACCTTCGATGAACCCATCAAAGACGAAGCTCTTGAAGAAACTCAACAACGTGTCGAATACTATGAAGAACAACACCAAGTTGACAGAGAAGCGACTGACTTCTTTGAGAGCTGATAGGATTCGGACACGCAAAGATGAATACTATGAATGGTATTCAGATGCGGTGAATGAATATGCCGATGAAGTGCATGAAGCGGAATGAAGAGGCTAGAGACAGATTCAAACTTGAGAACTGACCGAGGCCGCAGCATCGTCATCAAGTTCATCTTCTACAAGAGCTCCTCGAAAGGAACCCGAGAAGAAAATGGTTCCGCATGGCCCAAGATTTCTGACCTATCATTGTGGAAGGCCAACCTCATCCAGGCCGTCGTCATTGCTACCAATGGTCTTGACCAAAAGGACTGGATTGAATGGATCAAACAACCCTTGGTCCTGATCCAGACTTGTACAGGACTCGGGAGGAGAGAAGTTTGAATTCATCTACGCCAAGTTGGGACTGTCAACGGGTAGAGTGGTCACGGAAGCCAACGAAGAGGGAAGTGCTGTAAACGTGCAAGTCAGGACCAGAACTGGACAAGTTGGGAAGAACGTGGAACTTTTGAGAGGAAGTTGGCGCAATTCTTCCACTCGTGGGATGAGACTCTCAGCAAACCGAGCGATGCGCCGAATGAAGATACCTCAAGAGATTGCTTATACAGGAAGAGCAAGAATCAAGAACTCAAATCTCATGGCCTTCGACGTCAGGGCATATGAGAGCGTAGTCGAAGGAGCTCCTGGGAAATCATATTCCTACTTGAGGAATACGATGAAGAAATTCATTGAGAAGATGATCACGGAAAAGGAGAAATCAGTCAAGGGTCTCACAAAGTTTCTCAACCGGAAACAAGGAGCGCCTGCGCCCAAGAAAGAGCCAAAAGTGCCTAGAGTACCAGGTCCAAAGGCTAATCCGAAGAGCCAAGGAGCACCCACAGCCATCACCAAAGAAGAGGCTGGAAGACAAGAACAAGAATGGGAAAGGATACAATAAGGGCAAAGGCAAAGGGAAAGGCAAATCAAGGGATCCGAGTAGAAGCACCAGTCAAGACAAAAGGAAGATACCATGCAAGTCCGTTCTTGCAGCTGATTGCAAAAATGGAAAGAATTGTCCATAATTACATGCACAAGAAAGAGAAGGCAAAATCTACCACTCCCAATAATGACCCCTTAGAGGTTAATGTGTGCGTATTGATCAGCCCTGGTACGGGGGCCCTGGTATAGGAACATGTCCATGTTGGTATTTGGTGAGGTTGGTTTCCCGAAACAGTTCTCAAAAAGTCCACTTTCCTGCGGCTTCAATGGGTCAATACATTCTACGGGGCCCAACTCATGGCCAACCGATGCCAACGAACAACTTTTTAGCAAAGGCTTGCCGACCTAAATCATCATGTGGGGAAGGGTTCGCCAAGAGCTTTAGAGGGGTCTTTGTGAAAACGACTTGCCCCTGCTCTGACCAAGGTGACTTGATGGGCCGTGGGGAAGGCGTTGTGGGCGCCGCTCGGCAGAGTCTCGGTTTTTGGTGGATGGTCTTTGATGGGCAACAGTGGGTCATGGCACTAGGATACCGACCTGGTTGAATGTACCTGGGATGGTCAAACTCCAGGTTTGTTCTGTTTTCGATTTCTGTGACTCTTCCATACTTTTCCTCTCACCCTTGGTTTGTTTGGGTCGCACTGCAGGGCAAGGGATTTCGGATCGCTTCGCCCGGGCGGTCTCGAAACCTTCAGAGGGTTTTTGCTCCATGGTGGGGGCTGGGAGAAGATGACGAAACATCAGCGGCAGAAGGAAGATTCACCAGTCTTTCTGGATTTTTTGGCATGTTTTTCTATGTCAATCATGTGTTTTTTGATGTCAAGAGCTGGTGGAGAGTGGACACTGCAATGATCTTTTCAGTGTCACCAACTAACAGGGGTTTTGAGAAAGCCACTACACGCTCGGTGGAGGAAAGGGGTTCTATGAACCTGGGAACCCTTCCGGAGGCGAGATGGGGCGAGCCACGAAGAAAGGGTACTGTATTCACCAAACGGCACAGGGGCAGATCGGAGGAACGGTTTTAGTGGACTTCGAGCTATGATTTTTGCGGCGAAGTGTTGTAGGTGATGAGCGGACATGAGAAGATCAGCCTTCACAGAGGACGCCCACACCGCGGCGGTTTTCGGGCGGGACTGCTGGTCGCATTTTTCAGGGTGCCACATGACAGGCGGAGAATGGCGGGCCATGGGAGGCCACTCCTTCCCAGCCGTGCAGGGGATGAGCGGAGCGAGTGTTTACCATCGAAAGCGACACATGACGATGACGGCCATATCCAGGAACCCCACCCGGTGGCGACCGTTTGTCGCGGTGGCGACCGTTTGTCGCGGTGGCCGCGCCGTTTCTGGACTCGGTATTGATGGTCGACCTCCGTCCCGCCTGGCGCACGAAGGAGCCCTGAAAGCCCTGCAAGGTCATGCGGATGGCACCTTGGAAGCTGGGTTGGTTGCTGGAGTATATTAAGTTAGGGGGCCCCCCAGCTGGTCCTCCAAAAATCAGGCGGCTCGAGGACGCAGCATCTCTACATGGCTGTGGGTCATGACGGTCATGTCAAACCGAAACAATCTGGCAATGAACAGAATAGGGGACCGTTGAGGTCAACCAGCTCCAGATTGAGCAAATCACTTGTTGACTTGCTTTTTGTGGAGATCCTCCTTAAGCTGAGATGGTACACCTGATGGGTTCAAACTGCTTGTGTTTGGTTCTGGGTGACATGGGTGACCAAAGCAATACTGGTTAGCACAGTGAGTCCCCCAACTAGACCGTTGGAGTCAGCTCGTTTGGCTGGCCGCACTCAAGGATGGCCCGTATGTCAGGTCATGAGATGTCAACAGGTGCCGTGCCCTGGGCAAAAATCCCTTCGATGAGTAAACCATATACCCATATAAACCCCTCAACCACCCTCATACCTTGCCCATCCCTTGACCCCAACCCCCCTAACCTGCCACCTCTCCTCGATCGAGGGAAGTACCCCGGCATGCGCATTGCGGTGGCCAGCAGCGCGGACACGCCCTTCGCGGAGAAGGTCGGCCGCAAGGCGCTGTCCATGTTGGAGGCCCGCGTCGCAGCGCGTCGCGCTCGTCGCAGCTCGAGGTTCGAAGGGATCAGCTTCGATAGGGTTTGTTAACATGTTTTAACTCCATGAGATTCACGTACAGTGAGTGAATGAATTTTGTGGTTCTAAAACCTCCAAGCTGGGAGCTTCTTCTCCATCATCGCTCTGGAGTCTCCTTTCTGGTTTTCGACCGCCTTGCTGCGACGAGGTGCTTCCGGGGCTGACGGTCTGGCAGATGCTCCTGCGCGACTGGGAGGGCAGGGACGTGAACCAGATCGGACACTCGGTAGACTGACGGGTCGGAAGGTTCGTTTTTTTCGGTCTGGGGAGGCGTGGGGTGGGGAGGGGGAGGGGACACCCCCAGCTACTGATCTCGGTGGGACGGAGACGCGCATCCCAAAACCAGCCATATTTAAGTGTTTGGCACCCACTGCTTCGATCCTTCTGGTTGATGCTGCATTGCTGCACATGAAGATGCTTCACGAACATGATCATTATAGGGTTTATTCCAAGGACAGATGCCTCCTCTCCAGTCCACCGCCTCTCTGGTCACTTCGAAGTCACCGAGGACGTCAGCCGCCCTTGTCTTCCAACAAGGCGAAGACGCACTTCCCGCGGCTGAAGGACAGTAGACTCAGACCCAACCGGTGGCGATGATGGGGGGAGCATTCGCTTCTAAGCAGAAAAGACATGAACGCAGGAGTTTCACAAGATCAAACTCGTGGAGGGCGAAGGAGGGCGGTGAAGATCCCGGAGAATGAAGAGTGGTAAGTAGCTCAAAGTCTCAACGACCTGTATTCGACTGGACTGGTTTCCCTTGTGGCCTTGACAAAGTGTTAGTCACCAAGTCAGCGGGCCGTAGCCCTGTAACGCAGGACGCAGAACGCTTTTTGACATGCCCTGCCGCCCGGAAGTGGATATGCGCATCGATGTGTGAATCACTGCACTGGGGGCCAGAACACTGGCCGGATTGATAGCGCATTCCCTGCGAACATTGGTGGGCCAGAGAAAACTTGAAGCCATGAAGGAACATCCCCTTCCAAGAAACCATCAAGTCCTGGAAATTCATGTGTTCATACCACAACTTTACAAACAGGTACATGGTCTTGCCCAGACTTGCTGATTGGGGCCAGAGCTCGGCGCACCTTTTTGGGCACCTGTTGTTACCTTTCAGAAGTGACTTCGCAAACAGGCAGGCACAGGTCTCTCGTGACAGGCAGGTTCTAGCTGCTAGCTTTCAGAATTGAACGAACCATTCTATTCATTTGAAGGTCACCCAGCTCATCTGCAAACAACAAGGTATCTCGATCTTGGAGGGTCTCGATCTTGTACCTTTCAGGGTTGAAAACAGCTCATTTGGTGCCAGAAGGAGGTCCATGAGGGTCGACCTGGCCTGGCAGGAAGCGACGGGTGTGCCCTTTGACCGGATGCCGCATGGCCTGCACAGACAACAGGGTCCCAGGCTGGAGTACAAAGAGGCAAACAGCACAAAAGGCAGTGAAGTGGACAATATAAATCACTCCATTTTGATCCATTTTGCGACGTGACTCTTGACTGACTGGAAAACACTTCATACTTTGCGGACAAGAATTTTGGGACTGCTTAGCACCGCTTAGCACTGCCGGTGGCCGCAAAAGCCCCAGCTTTGCATCTGTAAAAACGACGATGATTCAATGACAGATGAAATCAAAGCGAACAACATATCAATCATCAAGACAACCAAAACCAATGTTATTGTTACATTCTTCTTTTCTCTTCCAGCTTTGACCGATGCCTTGGCTGCCTTAGCTCCGTGCTTCTCCGATTCAAGGCTTTTCTTCGACGATTGTCTCTGGAGCCTTGGTGGCAGAGATGGGTGGCAGGTCATGCGTTGGAAGCCGGGTGAGCAGCAACCCAATAGGATTTAAGGCCCAACCATATTATTCTAAAGGGCTTTACATGTTTTTTGGTGGTCCTTTTATACTTTCTATTTGAACAAACGTTCGTTTTGCAATATAGGATTTGGGACTCGAAAACCAGGTCAACCTTTACTTTTTGGGTTTTGGAAGGGGTAAAGACATCTATAACAACCATACCCTTGGCGTCGGGAACACGGTCGCGGGAGGGACCGGGACCGGTACGGTCCACGGTTTGAACACGCGGATGATGGACCCGTCATGAAGCCTTTAAAAAGGAAAATACGAGATTTCAAGGGTTCTTCCAATATGAACCTTTATGTTGTTCATATTACTGTAACATGTGGCAGTTTGGTTTGTTTTTTTTATCTTAGTTCCAGGATGTTCCAGGTGGTCCGTGGTCCAGGAAAGGAGCTCAAGCGCATCGAAAGGACCTATGGGGACCGGAGCCGGAGGGTGGGGCAGCTTCGCGCTTCGCCTCTCCACTGCTTGGGCTCATGGCCATTGGTCCCTGAAAACGAGGGGATTTGGCCAGCTTTCAGGCAGCCAGCTCAATAGATCGAATCAAAGTTCTATTGTTGATGGAAGACATCTTAGCACCACCACCCACAGGGACGAATCTCAGATGGCTAGTTCAACAGTATCAGCAGATCCACTAACAGTCACTAACCACTTCCTCCTTCATTGTTTGCCTTTCCTCGAAATGAAGAAGACCTCCACATGTCAGCGGAAGTTCCATTGGATCGAAACCCAAACATCATCAGATTCCACCAGAAAGAACCGTCTCCCTCTGGTCTGAACATGTCTGAAAACCCTATCACCATATCTATCTTCCTCACCCCACCCCTCGCTCCGCCCGGACTCCTGCGCTAGTCTCAGGGGCGACCACTGTGGCATGGTGGCGCAGCACTGCCGCGAGGCCAATCAACAGGGCGTGGTCACCGTGCGGCGCCTCGGCGGAACGGCTCACGGAGCGGGTGGGTGGCTCCGTTTGGAAAGGGGTCATTTTGGTGGAAGATGGTGGAGGGTTTCGTGGATTTCTGTGCCGGTTGGAATGGAATCGCTCGAAACAGGGGCGGATCAGCTGAGTTGCGTAGATCTTGGAAGATCCGGATCCCACACAAGCCGGAACCACCACAGGCCATGTCACCTCCCCACGCGTTCCGCGCGTTCCCGGCGCCTGGTGAGGACGCCCAGTGGCCTACAGGAGCGCGAATGGCAAATGGGCCTGAGACGCTACGAGGAAGAGCATTGAGGAAGCGTCGTCGAGTCGCGCAGTGCAGCACATCGCCAGCGGCCAGCACTGCAGTGCTGCTTTGGGACCCGGCGTGGAGTCGCAATCGCATCGATTTCGAAACGAAAAGGGTGCGACGTGTGAGAAACAGCTGCTCAGAGTAGCATGGGAGCTGGTGACCTTGCAGCATGCGTAGAAAGGAAAGTGATCTTCCTTTCATTTCCATTCTTTCAGGGTCACGTGGCTGGACTGAGCAGGCAACGGGCCCTACTGTATATACTTACGGTAATTAGAAGCTTTTGTTGGAGTTTGAACGTGCACAAAGACACTCCAAACACCCTCCAAAGGATTTAGCTCCAGGAGCGGCAGTGAATCACTTTCAGGCTCAGCAGCTCTCCGCATTCTCCTGAATTTGGCACGAGAATCTCCACCTGGATGGACATCGACCCATTTTTTCGGCCAGGATCAAGACGGCAGCCCCTCAATCACCATGGCAGTCCCAAGAACCGGAGAGTCAACACTCTTGTGATCCAGCCCTACCACCTTTTGAAGGAAGAGTTCTTGGAGATTACGTTCTAGATGGATCATATATGGCCAGCTTTCGTGGCTTTCGGTGTGCAAAACATGTGTTTTTGCCGCATGGATTCCTTTTTTGCCAGACTACTGATGACATCGAGCAAAATTCCTGTTCTTTTATTTGCTGCCCTTGTTCCGTCAAGGATCTTTCTCATTCTTGATCCACAGTCTGACAGTAGCTGTCCCCTTTCCCCAGCCGCCCGCCCTTCGCGCCCTGGGCGCCAGGCCTCCCGATCGATCAATGTGCTGACACCTCTCTCGGCAGGCGAATGAAAGTCTGGAAACGGAGGGTGGCCTTGACTGCTTCATTCATGCGAAGCACAGATGAGAGCAGGGTACAAGAAGCCCATCTTCTAACTTCTGATACTTCTGATGTATCGTGATTTGTGATGTCCAAGAAAGACTTCCCATGTTGTAATCTGACTCCAAAGGCAAACTCATTGCATCAGCTGTTGAATTTCAACTTGCCTCTCAGTTCAACCCACCCAAAGCAAAAAAGACCAGGCTGGTTGACCCCGTGGTTCTTCTTGTAGCGAAAAAACATCTCCCCTACCGCCGTGTTGGTGGTTTCACTTCGCTCATCACCAGGCGCCAGCACCTGGCTCCTGGCCATTCAGGAGAGACGTGGAATCCCCCCGACACTCGTGCCGCGCGATGTCGAGGGTCGCATGGAGGCCAGGCGTGTTCGTAACCGAAGGCCAGGCCAGGGAAGTGGTTCGGCCAGGTGTAAACAGATGTAAACAGCCAACATGCCTCGTTTGGTGAGGATACACATGCCTCGAATTCCGGTAGTTTGGAGATTTGTTCTTTTGATTCTACTGTGTGAGCCTTGCCATTGCCATAAGAAAATACAGCTACAGACTCCGGTGGCTGCGGCTAAGTGCTGTTCTAAGATTTACGCATCATAATTGGATATGTTCGACGCAAAGGTGAACGACATGTAAAAACCTGCTTTCACCTGTCCATCGCTACTAGGTGGAGGCCATCGGCCCTTGCACGGTTTCGTCGGCGTCGGTATTCAAAGGATTGATACATATCGAGACGATAAACATGGAAGACCAAGATCAAAGGCCTTAGCACCACACCAACAGCTCGTCTCAAATAGCGACATGAAAGCTCACACGAAGTGCTGTGTTTTGTGTCAAAGCAGCACATGTCCCGAAAAGCAGAGTGGAGGAGGAAAGCCCGAGATCAGCACCTCACCCACGAATGGAATTGGTATACGGAAATGAATGACACAATTTGGATTCTCAATATGACATTATGGCAAGATGTAAGTAAGGCAGAATCAGTGGACCTCCAAGAATAAACCCGTTGGCCCACCCAATTGTGCTCAGCCATCAACGTGGGCGGCCAGCGCCCAGGAGGCTTCAGCCCGGCGGTCGTACCAGGACCGTTTCCCCAACATGGCCGACGAAGAAGTGAAGGAGCACCCGGTACGTACGTGAGGTTGAGATGGATGGGGCACGGTGGAACAGTCGGATCCCCAAACCGGCAATTTCAACCATTTAGGATTTTCCTTTGAGAAGGTTCTTCTTGAACAAGGTCTTCTTTTCCCACTGACGACACGGTTTCTGGCCACACCAAGACTTGCGGGGTCTGTTCCCACCTTCTGAGAATGACAGCAGCCTGCTGTCACAAGATCACGAGGTGTTACGGTGCTGCATGAGATGTTCTTGGGCTCAAAATGTCAGGGTCTTGCGTGGTCTTAGGATCATGGCACTTGCATGGCTTTTGCCCGAACTTTGGCAGAACGCCGGGCTGTGAAGAGACAACATCATGTCGTTTCTTTTCAGATGCACCCTCACAACCCAGGTTTCCACTTCAGAAATCACAGCCTATTCCAGGTCCATTCCGAAAAGCCTATTCGCCGCCGCATACGCACACGGTCTTTCACATTCTTTCACCCGTTTCTGTGTCATCCCACCTTCTTCACAGCCCAGGAGATTTATGACAAAGCTGGGGACGGGAGTACCTACGACGGCATCAGCCACTGGGCACGATCCACAGGGACGGATTCGGCGGGACCTGGACGGAGGGATCGAGGTGGCGGACGGGTGTGAGTGGTTTCGGCGAAGAAGAAGCGGAAGTGGTGAAGATGGTGGAATGTTTCGATGCGGAATCAAATTCGTCGATTGTTCGTGGGTTTCAGATGCCTCCGATTCTTTTGTGGTAGGCTGGTCAATGAGTCAGCTTTTGGTGCTTCAGTGTGCATCGGGATCACAGTGGTTCTATTTCGGATGTCGGAATGTGGTCTGTGGCCAGGTGGCTCTGAAGTCTCCGGCTATTTTTGCTTGGGGAGCTTTTTTCGGTCTCCAGCAACTGAAGTGTCGAATCTGACCATTGCCATAATCCAAACCACTATAGCTTGTGGGTCAATGCTTGGTCAAAGCATCAGTGTCGACTCTCGACCCCGGACCGGCGCGGAGAAAGAAGACGAGGTCCGGAGAGACCGATCGGACCGGCGACGACCGCCGAGGCGCGGAGCAAGCGTTGGCCACCCTTGGAATGGCCCGGGAAGCCCGGACCGGAGACGCGGTTCGACGCGGAGACGCGCAGTGCGGTCCAGCGCGGGTGGACCACGGGTGGAGCACCGGCTTTGGTTCTTTTTTTCGGTTCCCGGCCCCCAGGAAGGTGGTGCAGGAGCGATTTTCGCATGGTGCGTGGAAGAAAGAGATCGAGGTCGAGTCGACGTGGAGACAGATGAGACACGGCAATCTTCGGTGAGACGCATGACCCATCAAATTGGCGGGCATAGGCAAAGTGATGACAATAGTCAAAGCATTAGATGTTGGGGCCAGCTGTTGGGGCTACGACTTCTCTAGTTGTCCCTGATAGCCTATACTGTATGTCACGTTTCGGTGCCTAAAACGGTTTCGACCACAGGGGGTATAGGATTCGGGCACAGCGAGAAGAGCGGAGAAGATACACGCCAGCATGTATGAGTTCCAGAGATGGTGTGCAAATTCTTTACTGTATGTCTATATTTTTAAAACTTCTTGTAGTTGTGAACCAACATGTCCCATGATTCAACATGGTCTCAGCAAGAATTGCAACGGACGCTTCCTATTTCAGAGAGCCCAAGACCAGCCAGGCCAGGCCGTTTTTTCCCACCTTGCCATCTCCAGATGTGGGAAGCTTTCCCAACTCTTCCCCTAGTGGACTTCCCCGACTTCGACCCGGTGCAGAGCCCACCCCACACATTTCATCACAGTCTAGTTGGTTAGTTGGTTTCCAGCAATAGCTTGAAGTCTTGTAGACCTTTACATGGCATGCTTTAGGCACTTTGTTTGGACATCCTAGCATCATCTACCATCTACATGAAAGACTACTGAGCTTTTCGGCAGGTGAGTGTATCACTTCCCCGAAAGACCGATGACCAGAGAACCGATCCGGAAAACCGTGTCATTCCTTTTTCTTCTCAGAAACCGGAGCAGCAACCCAACCTGCAACCTGGACAGAGCGCAAACACCCTGTCACTCGGCGACGAGCGAAGCTTAGATCCCCAACTTGCTGGTCCTCTTCCTCTTCGCCGCGAGAAGCCCAGGGACCGTGAGCCGGGAGCGACGGGTAACCGGTCCACGGAGCCGACCTGTGAGGAGACCGGCGGCGGCTGAGAGGTTGGAAGACGGCCACCAACCGGTGCAACCCTCCTGCCACTCTCCTTAGCGCAGAGCACTTTTCTTTTTGGGATCAAGAATTGAATGTGACACTGATTGTGTAGATATGGACTGGCTTGTGGCCCAGTGAAGCAGGTGCTTTGATCCAGACACCTGGGAATGTTCAATTCCAACAAAGGGGGTGCTAAAAATGCCATAACTATTGCGGAAAAACTGCACCGCTACTGCAATCACCACCAAACATTCCACAGACCATGATATAACTTCCACTTAAGGACCAGATTCTGCCTGGGCCGTTCGACCATGGTGGATCAGAGAATCACGAACCATTTCGGTGGGTGGATTGCGTGGAAGGGTGGTTGGTCGATTCGGTGAAGCTTTGGTTCGCGGGAGAACGGTGGATCCGTTGACTCCGACAGTTCGCCGGATCCGCGTGGACGAAAGGGACCTTCCTTTCCAGGGCGGCATCGGTGCCTTCATCCGCCGGGGCGGAGGCGGAGCGCCTTTTTGGCGCGTGCGAGAGGAGAATCGCGTGCGAGCGCGAGGAGAACACAATGGGACGTTAGACATGTTTGGTTGTTTCACGTGTTTCTTTTTCTGGATATAAAAATTTTGCCAGCTAACCAGGGTTCCAGTTTGTAACCAGGGTTCCAGTTTTTCAAGCTCAAATAGTGCCAAGAATGATGCAAGTTAATCAACAACATTAAACCAAAACAGTGCAAACCACCAGCAACAAAACACTCAATACAACAAGAACTTTGCAACAAGGAGTGAGCACAAGGCACAAAGGACTAGCCGCTGACACAAAACAACACGCTGCATGTGCACAAAGCATTTCATTTTCTCCATCGCCACCAGCACTCATGTCCAAGAGGCGCAAGCTATTACACAAAAATTGACACTGCCATTTATGGCACTACAGGCTCTCATCATGTTCAACCATTTCTTCTTCTCACCCTCTAGGGGCAGGTCATCACTCGAATCCTTG